AACTTAAAAGTAGCTTTAAAACGAGTACAAGTTACTTGAAAAAGTATATAAGTTAGAGTACTAAATACTGACGTTCGAAAGTATTCGCAAAATACCTAGTTACTCACAAAAGTATTTAAGATCCAGTAACTTGAGTAGAGTATTTAAGTTACGTACAAGTCTGGGCTACAGCCCCATTGAGCCGTACTACATATGTGGATGTAATAAAGCTCCTCACAGGGAAATCAGTATTTTTTAATCGAAAAATATTTTTAAAAGGCGCGAGCACAAGCTAGCCGCTTTTCTAGCGCACCGGCCTGAGCATGTACTAGCAGTTTACTCCTACCTGTCACTTGTCAACTTCTTTCATTCAAAATGTGCTGCATACATAACAGATTACTCACTCCGAGCTTAAAGGCCGACGCCCAGACTACAGGCTCTGACGAAAATAATCCCTGGAGAAGGGGAACAAGAGGCCCAAAGGACAAACACAAATCTCCAAACACAGCTAGGTGACTGGTGCGCGACCGAAAAAATCCGCCTGGTCCGGGTATCGAACCCGGGGCCTCTCCATTACAGGTGGAGCGCTCTACCAACTGAGCTAACCAGGGGTTAGACGTCAGTAGAACAAACAGATTTTGTCAGCTGCCACCAGTCGAACGCCAACAAGGGTGAACTTGCATTTTAAGGTTATGGTTATAATGCAACTAAATGCAAAGGTGCAAGCAAGCTGGTCAAGAATGACGGAGGATTTTTTTGGTCACGCGCCACTCATCTAGTTGTGTTTGGAGATTTGTGTTGCCCCTCTTGTTCCCCTTCTCACGGGATTATTTTCGTCATTCTTGCCCAGCTCGCTTGCACCTTCGCATACAATTGCATCATGTCTAAAGACTTGCCTGTTTCCTCCTCCTCCTCCTCCTCCTCCTCCTCCTCCTCCTCCTCCTCCTCCTCCTCCTCCTCCTCCTCCTCACCATGAGAGAGGAGGAAACAGGCGAGGGTGGACAGGGTGAAAGGGGGGAGAGTAGGAAGGGAGGGAAGAGTGGAAAGTGCGAAAATGGGAAATACATTTTTCAAAGTATTCAACCTCGGATGCTAAAAATCGGGTCTGGTCAAAACTGCCCCTCTACATACGCAGTGAGTGCCAAGTTCATTATAAAGTTTTGAAAACCATTGTTTTCTCCTACACCTTATATCACATTCCTCAGTAGACTCATATGAGCTAAAACGGATCCCTTATGCTAAGCTTCCAGAAACTCCACTTAATTTGCATAGTTTTGGCACAAAGTGGCATATAGTGTTTGGTGTTTCGAACCACAGGTTGCGTGAGAGCTCCGTAAAGTTGGCTTCACCTGCGAAGATTCTAGGAATGTTCGCAAGCGAACGTTCCAACGATGTTGAGCAGCTTACCTAGTAGGGAATGTTCGCATACGGACGTTCCTAGAACGTTCCGAATGGTGTTTTAACGTTCCTTCAACATTGAGAACACCCAGGGAATGTTCGCACGACATTGGGTGCTACGTGGGGAAGATCATACGACGCTGGTTATCTTTGGCGGCGTAGTGAACAACAAGAAGCGAGCTTCGACACATTTATTGGAATGTACATAGTTGACTGCAATCATTCGTATAAGACTAACACGTGTAGTATTATCGGAGCATCGAAGCAGTCTCTTAAATATATCACAAGTATACCAAGAACACAAATTAACGTCTTGGAAAGGCATCACTCCTCACACTTTTAGATTATTTTGGATAGTATGGGGGGTGCCACACCGCTTGGCATGCACTGTCCCAATGCCCCGTTCCGACCAAGTTTTCTTGGATCCCATCTCACGGAGGTATTCCGCGGCAGCTATTCTTTCAGCGACTGGAACGCTTTCAGGACTCCGTGATTGTGAACGCCTCCGGAAGGAAATGGCTGAGACGAGAAGTATTTCGCTCATTAAAAGGACCATGAAACGTTTTTTTGTTTATTTCGCTCAATACTGTTTTAACGTAATCCCTGAGGTTGGTAGCAGACAGCGAGGCAGGCGTTCGTTTCTAGCTATGCACAGGAGAAAATCGAGAAACGCGAACCGAGAACGGCAGTGCTTTTTTTCTTCTGACGTTCGTCCTCTAGCACGCGCTCGATGCCATCCGTCCTACCATCATAGCCTCCTCCATACTCACAAAGCCTGGCAGTTTGACGACGGAGCCATACAGTGTCCGGTCGCAGATTTGGAGCGCGAGGATCTGGTAGCACACAGCATCAAAGAGCCATTTCTCGGCGAAGGTGGATGTCAGCGCACAGCATTTGCAGCGGCGAGGACCCGAAAAACACTTGTTCGCTCGGGAGAAGCGTATTTCGGCGTCTCGCCGCAGCGCGGCGCCAGTCACGTGGCTCTCCTCTCATCCGTCGTCTGCCGCTCCACCTTATCTATTTCGACGGTCGCTTCTCGTAGCGATCAGCTAGGCTTTGTCAGTATATAAGAAGCTACGGTCGTGCTTCTTCTGCGCGCCCGAGGATCACGAGACGCCAGCGCGTCATCGAGAGCAAGTAAACTTGGTAAGAAGCTCGCGCTGGACAACTAAAGATCCTCCCTCTTATCCTGTCTGTTCTCTTAGCCGGACTCGTGCCCTCGGTGTTCTCACAGCCACGCGTCTGAGCCGGCAATGTTTAGAACCTGTGCAGTGCTCTGGACAGTGCTCAAGTTCGGCGATTTTTTTACCACCAACGCGAACCCGAATATTTGCCGATGGATACCGAGTGCAAGCCCATGCCCACCGGTGACGGAGTGTTTGTGTCCATGGGCGTCAGCAGATTTTTTTTTTTTGGTCACATTCCCATGTGAGAGAGAGAAAAAATCTGCTGACGCTTATGGACACAATCACTGCGTCACCGGTCGGCATCTTGCGCTTTATTTTTTCTTCTTTTTTTTAAGGGGGTAGTCCTCTTTTTTTCAGATTCGTGGCAACCTTTTGCGAGGCTGAAGGGCAAAGGGCTCTGACAGGGCCCTGAGGCATTGACGGGGCAAGTTGCGCCCCCGTCCGGAAGTTCGTGATCGTCTCCAATCCGCGAGCCGATTCGGCCGTGATACTGCGCTCTGCACTGCATGGATGCTGGGCGCGTCAAGAGAAAGCAAGCAAGCTTTTAGAATAAGAGCAACCAATAGGCCTCTCCTATTTTAGAAATTTCGCAATAGAAATTTCGCTTTTGGGTCCTTATACCCTCAACTGCCTCGTGTGATACGGCGCATCATGAGCTCGGTAAAATTCCAATCCAATATTACTTCATGGTCCCTTTAAAAGAAGCAGACGATTCCGTCCATTTTTCGCGACGAAATGGAGCTTTTGGTTTTAAGAAAACAAGCTCCGAACAAACTGGAGCGAGAACAAAAACGAGATTATCAAGTCGAGATTTCTATCATAATCATAACGATCTGTGACGAACGACAATCACACAAACAAAACGCTCCCAACAATCGGAAGATCCAAATGTAAATAAGGTGTCTAAAAAATGTTTGCCATCTCATGATATGAGAGTTGCAAAGAATCTGAGGAGGTGCACACCGTACTCTCCCTCCGGCACCGTCATTGAAGACATTTCGATGACGCTTTCTGGTGCCGAATGCGGGAGACACGAGTGCCGTGTTCGGCTGGGACTCGTGTCGAATCAGTGAGGAGCCGAACGATGACGCAGCACTCGTGTCCAATCCCCGCGCTGAGCTCCAACGTGAAAGCACGACGTCTGGGAGGCCTCACCTCAGCCGAAAGTCTCCTTTCTCCTTACCCTGATGCGGAGAGACGGAAACAAACACTTCGCAATAAAAACCCCGAGATCGTTAACGCGAGATTTTTAATAAAGATTTCCGTGCGTCGCAGATGCCTGAGTTTGCAAGTAACGTCAACCCGGCATCCGAGCGTTTAAGCCCATACCGCGATTGATCTCTCTTCGCAGCTCGCCTCCGGACTTCGTGTCGACAGTCACTCGCCCGTTACCTACTCACCCTAACCCTATATTCTCATCGACGTAATCTGGCCTGGGTTTCCTTTTGAGACGACACGACTCAGCATATTCTATTGTCCGTGTTGCGAACCGTCGCGGTTTTGCGCTATCGGATCTCGCCTATGCGACGCTTCATTGTTCGCATATGAACAAATCACGAGGGACGCTTTGATCGCGGTGCTCTGAAAATCATTTAAGGGTTGTGTCAAGGGGCAGTTTATGGTCACGTGGAATGTAACGCGAGCAGCCCCATCTTATGGGCTGCCCGCTTGTAGGAAGGCACATAAGCAGACATGGCACGGAGAACGTATTCCGTGGAAAGGATTCCGCGTCAGTTCCGGACATAAGTGCTACATCCCGACACTATCAGCTGGCATTTGCGCCCGTGACGAACTCATCCCAAAGCATAGGAGCTATGTTCATACAGAGACCCCAGAGACTGATCAGCCTTTCGTTGGTTCAATCTGATGAGGAAGGCACGAGAGGCACACAGTTCATGCTGTTGTGGCAATATTCTCTACGCTTATTGGTCTAACGTACGCAACATATCCTTTTGTGTACGTTAACACAAAACGGAGTATTGTAATCGAACGCAATGAAATCGAGCGTGGTTGCGGCAGCTTCAAGTTGGCCCCACCGAGTGTCGTCCGGCTATGACAAATGGAGCAGTTAAGGGCTGTTGCAGAATTCACTTTTCTCGGGCCTGGTTCGGACTCACATGCGTCTCATATTAGCTGAAAGAATGAAATGAATGCTAAAATCAACGCGCAAATCGGACGAAAACTGGGACATGCGAAAATCGTTTCGTGCGATTTCCGAGAAAAAAGGCACATTTATGGCGCGCCGATCGCAAATATGGTCTCGTTAAAACAATCTCGGCGATTTCTTCAAACGAAATACCCGCATGTGGTTTGTTTCTCGAAAACTTGTCCAGAGCTTTTTTCGAGGGAAGATTTTCGTGCGGACAGATGCTATAACAGTTAGGCACTTTTATCGCCTGTTCGACATCTGCGGAGAGTGCATTGAAGCAAGAAAGACTGCCTGGCAACAGAACACGTAGAGTTCCCGATGCAACCAGGCAGCCCGGGCTACAGTCAACACCTACTAGAGTCACTGGCAGATTAAAAAACACACGTCGTTCAAGCTTCATGTTTCGAGTTCTTCAACGTCCTTATCAGCCATTGGCTGCAGAGCAATAATGAGATAGTCACCAAGCTCTGCGTTTCTTTAAGTAAGAAGGCCGGTGGATTTTTGATGACATCACCTAGCGAAGCCGCAAGTTGTTCATGAGCGTTCGAAAGGAATCAGCGTTCAGTCAGCGAGAGTTGCAGTCCAAGGGTGACGCAACCCCCTGTGGCCCGCGTTCGCCTCCGCTAGGTGGCGTAAGAACATCCAGCACTACGGCCTTCTTACGCATACGAGGAGTTGCTTTGGCTACTCTGCCGAGCTCTCCGCTCACATTGATCGTACGGTTGAGCTAGTTGGTACATATTAGCGATGCGTCACCTTCAACTTCCAGAGCTGACGGGACTGACACAGTTTCTGCAAGTTCAAGCTGAAGTAAGTCCACTGATCGTACGGCACACACTCGATGTCCAATCGACGCAGTGGTCCAGCTGTGTGTCGAGTGTCCGGATCCTATCGGGAGCCGCTGGCTCCCGGCGCGATGCAGACGTGCACTCGGAGCAAGTGAGACAGGTGTTGCACTTCCTGGCGCAGGCGCTGCAGCTCCCTGCGCAGCTCCGCGTTGCCCCTCTGCAGATCTTCGGATTCCTGGACGAGCGACAAGGTTACTCTGTGTCTTGAGAACGCCTTTGTTTTTCCTCGAAAAGAATAGTGCGGACAGACGCAACAACGTAAGTAGTAGCATTGCTTTACATGTCGGTAGACGAGGTCTGCCCCATCAGCTCCATTTCCCGCTAAGTTGAGAGCGCTGCGGAAGCTGCTTGTTCACTGGATCAGGCAACCGTCAATCTTGCGCTAAGTGGTCACGCACTCTACACATACTTTTGCCCAGAGAGGGCGCCAGACGTTAAAAAGCGGGTGAATACTTGGTCCGGTGACCTCGCGGCTCTAAGCACACGGGTGTTCTAAAGTTTCCATTGTGCAGCAGGCACAAGGCCGGTGATCCGGAAACTCAGACGATAAGAATACCATCCGCGTTTCCTTGCGCTGCTGCACGAGTGCTAAATTCAAAGCACAAACGTGCTCCCCACGTGTTTCAAGTCGCACTAAAATTGACCGATTTAGGAGTTTTCGATGACGCTCAGCAAGCTTCTAATTGGAACCATATGTTTATTTTACTGATTAAAATACCAATTAGTACATTCTATGCAAATAGTTTGCAAATTACTTTTTTTTGCAATTTTTGCTATTTGTTGCGGCTAACAACTTGCATCCGAAAAGAACTTTTTTTTTTTTTAATCACCTTAATTTTAGGAATTTTTGAAATCATTCACATAGACAGAAGCAGGGTATTTTTTGTTTTCCATATTTGTTTTGAAAACGCCGTGAAAGCGACACTAGTGCAGTCGACGCAGGTGAGTACGGCCAGCGGAATATACTCCAGGAAGCTAATCATCCCGATACGTCCGCTCTTGAACTAAAATGTGTTAATTTACTTTTATTAGTGAAATTATTCAAACGGTTTCAATTAGAAACCTGATCAGCGTCATAGAAAAAACTAAAGTAGTATATTTTCGAAAGACGCGAAGAACATGGGAAGCATATGGGTGCGCTAAAGCAGGCGGAGGGCTGGCGATGCAAATTCGTGGATAAGATTATCATCCGTGTTTTCGCAAAAACTTTGATGACTCTACGCAAGTCTTTATTTTAATCATATGTTTATTTTCACTAGCTTAAACGTGAATGAACCCATTCAAGTTAATTATTCGACTATCGTTTCAATTATCCCCCATACTACGTCCCCCTGACCGCATAACTCACCTGCACAGACCGCATTCGAGTAGCCTTTATGGCTTTTTGTTTACAGGAATCTGTGCCCTCTAAAAAGACAGCCTGTATTCACCCTGTTTCGGCGAATATATAATGGCTAGCGCTCTTGTTAAGATTACAGAAGCGCTTGTGAGGGAGACAGCCTGTCCAGAAATTTATTTTATCTGAACATGAAAAAAAAAAAACACACACACACACACAGGAAAGAAAGAAAGCAATAGACCATTTGCAATATTCTCCAAGCGCCCCGGCCGACGCTAGAGGAATCGTGAGAACGGTGTTCCTTCAACTCCTTAGTGATGGGTAATTTTTACAAAATTCATGGTTTCGAGCGTAATTCGGAGTCACCGGGCTTGAACAAGCGCCTGACATACTTCAAGGACCTGTCATATCGCTTTTATAGTTTCTCCTCAATGTCGGCGTTTTTGATACTGTGCATGCTGTCCACCCTTCAACCTGGACGAGTTGCAGAAATCTCTTACATTATTATCATTCTCGCACAGCTTCAGAGAGACTGTTATTATGTTAGAAACACTAAAAATGCTATAAACAGCCCCGCTGACTCCAAGCTACATCCTGGGTCTTGTTGTTGTGAATTCTCGGGTTTTGAAGCAATTCCTGCTAAAACAACAATCACGAGAATGATATTATTGTAAGAGATTTCTGCAGCTCAGCCACGTTAAAAGGTGGATCGCATGCGCAGTATCAAAAATGTTGACGTTGACGAGTATTTTTTAAAAGAGATATGACAGGTCCTTGGGGTATATCTGGCGCTATGGTTCAGGGTGACTCTGAATTACGCTCAAAAACTGTGTAACCATGGAATTGGTTGAAAATGGCGGTCACTAGGGAACTGAAGGAACACCTTTCCCATGATTCCTTGAGTGCGGGCCGGGGCGCCTGGGAATATAGCAAATGGTCTATTGTCTGTATGTGGAGTGCAAATTTGCGTCTTGCAGGGGGGTTGCGACGATGTCAGAACACCAAGCTCTTATTGGATGATTGAAAAACATAGTGGATAGACCTCAAGGCATTCAGCATCGAGGTCTACTCCCTATCTTTTCAATCAAAGCCAATCAGAACTCGGCGTCGTTCTGACGTCACCACAAGCACTGCGCAGGAAGCAGACGACTTGCTCTCCGCGTAGATTTAAGACATAATGCGCCTTAGGCTGGTCGCCATTCCATGAGCGTAATGTAGCGAAAGAGAGTTCCATCTGTTCTGGCGTGGGACTCGTAGGAGGTGTTGTTCACCTCACTGAGACGCACGGTGCGCTCCTTCTTGCGGTTGCGGCACTTCGAAGCGGCGATCTTGTTGCGCTCCCGTCGCTTGCTCCGCTTCTCCTCGTCCTCTTGGGTGAGCTGCGAAGAAACGGGCAGTCACTCCGTGGGAACCCCCCTTGGTGACCTACGAGAAGTAGACTTCTTTAGGTAGATTTTAAGTTTACTAAGAGTATATGTATACTTTCAGTGGGGAGTGTCCAGGCTGGTCCACACCGGTAAAACGAAGTTGCCTAAGATTTAACGATCAGAACACAAAAGCGCAAGTGAGCTGGTGACATTTTGAAGCAACCCATGGTTGAAGAAATACGAAAGTTTACTTTAAGAGAAGATACATTCTCCTTCTCCTTTGAGCAGAGGCTCAAACCGAAAATTATAACGTTTCGATTACGGTTAGCGTTTCCTGCAGACGCACGGTTTTCGCAAACATTCGAACTAGTATGTTCGGCCTTCGAACATTCCAAACGAGAAGCTTCTCGGACGTTGTAGAGAAACTATTATTAGAACACACTAATCAAAGTTGCGCGGACCTCAGGAATCGAACCTGGGGCCTCTGCGTGCGAGTCGGGTGCGATGCCATTCGGTCACGCACGCGGCAATATTAGGTACATGAGCTTCCTAACACCGAATCTAATGCTGAGGAAGTCGCACTTTTGAATCACGACGATCGGCAGTTGCGTCCGCTCAGTACAAGCACCAATATGCCGGTGCCCAGACCAATATCAGGGAACAGAGTGCCGATATTGTATGAGCGTAGCTCATTTAGTGACTCTAAGTGTAGATATACTCCGTCTATTCTTAAACTGAGACAGCAACCAAGACTACAAGCGCGAGCTAGCACGCGCTCTTGACTTTGAGAAATGCCTTTCTAGCGCGAGTGCTCGCTCTGTGGAAGAACGGTACAAACCAGCGACCTCGAGCTTTAGGGCTTGTCGCATCACCTGCAGTCTTATAAGGCCTGTTCACACAGGGTGTATCTCAAAACGTCCCATTCGCATTTGAACCTTGCACATTTCGACCCATTCTCATTTGGTCCTTCTCGTTTGAACCTTCTCATAAGGTCCGAACCGTGTTTTTCGCAACTGGACCCATTCTCATTTCGCCCGTTCGCGCTACGACCGAATGGCACTAGTTCGGCATGCTTCTAACGTCGTCATGCCTTCGCGGCTTTGTTGATGAGCCTTACCTTGCTTGGACCCCCAACATACCATCAGATATATGTTATCTGTAGAGGTACGCACTGAGAATCGTACATTGACGCCTGCTTCGCTTCCTCTAAGCAAACGAGAAAAAAGCGATGCACATTTAATTTGGTAACTGTCTGAACAGAAATAGCACACAAAACAGCAGGGGTTCTCAACCATTGATGTTTCGCGGACGCCTTGTAGAAAGGCGGAGATGATGGAGGACCCCGTTCGGCGTGAGGGGAATAGAAATGTATAGGCTATCATGATAATGATTTAATAAATGGATATAATGTTCGGGAGAGTACTCTCCCGAACATTGGAACGTTTCTTCTCAACGTGAAGAAAGACAACTAATATTGCCGTGCCTAACTGATGAGACAGGGCTTCGCGGATCCCTAGGATGTCTTCGCAGACCCTCTTTTGAGAACCACTGCATTATAGAAGTGGTGGCATTGTCCCAAGTCGAGAGACCTCAAACAACGTGACATTTCGGAATATGATCTGGCTGCGCTAAATAGTTGGTCTGTTTTATTGTCAGCCAGTAGCTTTTCACGACGATCTCGACGCACTGCTGAAATCCTTAGCAGACAGAGTATGCCTGTAGTGTGGCACACACCCACCCACACACACACACGCACAAATTATATCAATGTATTAATATTACCCTAAAAAAACGATTTTCATGTAGAAAGAGTCAAGTGCGACGGGTCAAAGCAAGATATTTTTTTAGAATGGCGGTTTTGAAAGGGGCCAGATGAAAAGGGCGAAACGAGAACGGGCCCAAATGAGGAGGGTTGGAATGCGAAAGACGAAACGGGAAGGGACCAAATGCGACAGATCCAAGAGAGAAGATCTTTTTGAGAATGGTACTTTTGAGAAGGGCCAAGTAAGAAGGTCGAAACGAGAACGGGCTCAAATGATACCCTCCCGTCCACACATACAACGGAGCGCTAAGTTAGCGTTAGCGCTCATGTGGCGCTTCCTGGCGCGTGACTTAGTTCTAACATAGCGCGTGATTAGCGCTTTAGTAGCGCCTTTTTAGCGCTTCTTTAGCGGCTTCTTAGCGCTCCAGTAGCGCCTTGTTAGCGCTCCAGTAGCGCCTTGTTAGTGCTTCAGTAACGCCGTGTTAGCGATTCAGTAGCGCTTCTTGTACCGCGGTACTGCGGATTAGCGCGTGCAATGCGGTTCCGGTTCCTGGGTGTGCATCAGCAGCACCATGGCGGACATGTGGGATGGTAAACAGAAATGCGACAAATGCTTTTACATACGCGATTAGTGCATATGTGTGTGGACGGCTTAACGCCCAGAAGAGCCTTCTGGGTGCGCGAAATCTTTCGCCACCGAGATACCGACGGGTTTCCGGCGAACCTTGTTCCCAGGTTGAGGGACCGAAACACAGAGCTCTTTCGAAGGCGATTATTTTCAACTGCGTGTCTTTGAAACAAGGGTCACACATAAAGCGACGAGGTCGTACGCAATCAATTAGTCGCTCAGAGTCCATGACTCTGGATTGCCTGCCTGACCCTTTGCTTGGAGAGCGGCTGTTTTACTTCCTCTTCTTTCAATGCCAAAGGAAAAACAACAACAAAGGAATCGCCGTGCACGCGCTGTTCCACAGCAGCTAGCAAGCACGGCACAACGTGAGAGCGCTAACAAAGCGCTTCTGTAGCGCTAACAGAGCGCTAACAAAGCGCTTCTGAAGCGCTAACTGAGTGCTACATCACGCGCTAGGAAGCGCCACATGAGCGCTCCTTCGAGCGCTCACGTAGCGCTAACTTAGCGCTAACTTAGCGCTCCGCTGTATGGGTGAACCGGCCTTTAAGGGTGAAATTAGTGTCTACTCCGCTCACCTTAAGCTGAGACTGCAGTCACTGCCACAAGGACGAGAGCTCGAGGTCGCTGCTTTGAAGCTTTCTTCCGCAGAACGAGCACTCGCGCTAAAAAGGCACGTCTCAAAGCCAGGAGCGCGGGCTAGCGCGCGCTCGTAGCTTTGGCTGCCAGTCTTAGCTTAAAAAAGAGTATAGTTGCTACTTTTAATTTACCTTCGGCAATAAAAAACAAACAACGCAGCTCGTCCCAGGAAAGTTCGAGGACAGTGAGTGAGTTAAGAATGGTGCTGTAGTTTGGGCGCCACCCAGCATGCAAAAGCTCGACTTGGCTTGAGTAAAGGGCTCGACACCATCACGGTTCCCATAATGACACGGAGCGCTCACTGATGGCGCGGGCGTTTCCAGAAAGGTCCATTCCGAGGCTGCAGGTGCCGGCACTTCACTCAAGGACGCACTTCGGCTGCACAAACTCTCGCTCAGCAGAGCTGCCGAAGATAAAGAAAGCTAAAAGCTTGAGATTTTTCCATTCAGAAGCAAATTTCCATTATACTAATATTTTCTTCTTTTATCTTAACGGACGTCTTAGTGAAGGTCTGCCAGTGAAGTGCAGGTTTGCCTTGGCCAACCGGACCGACAACCGTCACGAATAACAGTTTATTAAGCGTGGCGACTAAAAACGTCTCACTTCATTGCCAAATATAGATAGAAATATTTTCACATTATTTCCTCCTCTGTTCAATTCCTTTTATAATAATAATAATAATACATTTTTTTATTTCCATCGATTGTGATGGTGGGACCCGTGGAAAAAAGCTGCGATATGCAGCTTGACTGGTCCTCGGGTCCCTACAATGGTCAGCAGCAACGGAACGGAAATAAAAAGAAAAAAAAAAATAATAAAAAAAAAAAAAATACACACAAAAACTAACAATTGAAAGATACATAACTACGCACTTGCCTGTTTTTTTGAAGCAAATAGACAAACATAAAAAGCAACAATTAAAATTTACAAAACTATACACTCTTGCCTAATAATGGAGCAAAATAAAACAAAAATAAAAATCAGGTACAAATCAGGAGCAAAAATACAAACGCAATTCTGTAGAAGTTTTAGAGTCAAAATCAACACCATCAATATAAAAATTATTACTTCTACTACTTTCTGTAAACAAATGGTAGTAGTAGCGATTACAAGTGGAAAACACTCGGCTAAAGCTCCTAGAAACTTGTAATTTTAAAGGGCAAAACAGGCTTATTGGTTGTATAAATACACAGAGCAAGCGGCGCGGGCATTGTTTTAATTATCAAAATACTTTAACTTGAGCCAATAGCCGAATACAGCACAAAAAATATGTTTAGTCATAAAATACACGGAATGAAAAGATAATCTTGTATGTGGCATTGAGCAAAAATGCCGTAGTGGGAGTTGCTTTTTGCAGCGCTGTAACTTTGAAGGAAACAAAATATGCAACATGTTTTTCATAAAAAAAAAAAAAAACGCAAGAGTATGGTGGAGAACTATCACTATAAACTCCAGGAAAATCGGAGTTTCTTTTATTCATTGCCCCTTCAAATTGCTTAACTTGGTACTTCAGAACAAATTTGGAGCAATATAAAAAGTTATTTTTTAGATAAAGCAATGATTTATTTATCATTCGAAAGAGCGTTTTATGCAGAATGTACCGCATAAACTATAATGTTGTGGTTACTCAAGATTTTTAAATAACTGCTCAGAAATCTAGGCACAAAACATCAATGGAGCCATGTTTGCTCATTTTTGACGCCAACAATATAACCTCCACAATGCTGTACATATTTAAATCAATAGTTTTCCTGATCTATTTTAAGTGTGAAATATTTTATATTGTTGATATGACTATTTTACGTAGTAGGTGTCACGAAATAAGACACAAACAAAAACTTCCGAAATCAAATATGCCGTTCTGGGCGTGCTCAAGAATGTATATCTCTTCAAATATTACGTTTTTCTTGTTTTTTTCAAAATATTGTTGATCACGTTTCCTACAGATGTTGAGGAATAACATATAAGAAATAGCAAAAACAA